GTATTGTATTGTAGTGGTATTGTAATTTTCAGGAGACTGACAGTAACAGAAATTAATATTAGGTCATTCCATAGACAAGAAATCAACATGGACGTGGACCGCCACACTGCAAAACATTTGGTAATTTTTTCTGAATGGTTTATAGTTATGACCCTATTAAGGATACACAGAAGACAATGGACGAATGGACAAAATAAAACATGTAGAATACTTTTCAAATTCTTTTTGGTGTTTGCTCAAATACGGGACTTTAAATAAGTTTTTTTAATAATATAATTTAACTAGACCATACCTAGAATTTTTTTGTGGTACATTTCCCTGATGACAGATCCTGATTTAATTTCATGGTTGGGAGGACCAGGAAAAATTCTAAAAATTGTTTGAGTTGAGACAAAATGACCCTATTAGCAAATCACCATCGGTTTAAGAAAGGACACAAAAAAAATTCAGTTAACATACAAAATCTGATATGAAAGAGGCAATATAGATAAACTACTGTAAAACAATAACATTTTGTTGAGATTGAGTCCATTTGAATATAACAGTTTAATGTGACAGACAAGCACATCTATGTAATACCACAACAGTATATGTTGGTGTGTGTGTGGGTCTGTGTGTTCAAGACATGTTTGCAGTTGGAAGTGTAGATTCCTTTTGTGAACAGAAGACAGTTCTTAGATAACTCATAGTGCGTGTTACCCCAGGCTCATGCTTCTCCATGTCACAATCTGATAGATGAGTCTGCTTTTGGCAGTTACCAGGAAAATGGTACTTGTTTGACTGCATTGTGCAAAGTGTAAAGTTTGGTGGAGCGGGGATCATGACGTGGGGTTGTTTTTGTGAAGTTGGGCTCCAGCTTGAGTCCTGACCTCTGCCCGTCAGAACACTTTTGGGATGAATTAGAGCAGAGAAGTTAAGCTCATCCATCATCAGTGTCTGACCTCAAAAATATGTTTCTGGAACGGTGTTCTGCATGCGGTGTTCCTGAGTTCACTGATGTTATGGTGTGTAAAATTTTCACCACTGGATGTCAGTAGATTGCAGATTGTGGTTAACTTAGTTCTGTTTTTTTATACCCATCCCAATCATCCTAGCTATGTTGTTAGGATGTTAGATAGGAAGCACTTAAGCACAGAAAGAAATTGCTTATCTTGTATAGAGTGCTTTGAGTAGAAAAGTGCAATAGTAGGCCATTTACCATAATGTCTCAGAACCCTACTGTGTTTACAAATCAAGTAATTCTGTGAAATGATTGATTGATGACTGTCCTTCTCTGATCCCCACAATGCCTCACAACTACTTAACTAATGTGATGGTGCATAGGCAGCCAGTCAGCCTGGGCCTCTGAACACACAGTTGCTCAAGAAAATCCTAGCAGGGTCAACCCATTGTCTTTCCCACAGATGGTATACAAGCATACTTGCGGTTCCAAAAAGTTAAACTTTAACATTAGTCTGCAAGCCTAAAATTCTATTTGTGACCTTGGAAATAGCTTAATAAAAATCAAATCACATAGAGCACTTGTATCATATCACACACACACACACACACACACACACACACACGCACAAAGGAATGAAATTCATCTCTTTGTGAATGAAATGTTTTTTTTTTATATGATTTGTTAATAAGTGTTATGTTTTTTTAATTTTTTGAAATATGTATGGCTAAAAATTTTTTGATCAGGTAACAAATTTACAGTTATTTCTACAGTTCTTGCAAACAGCAGCAGTTGCTGTTGTGTGCTGAAAGCTCATAAATGCTTATCATGTTTACTGTTTCTTTGCGATCATGAAGATGTGTGGCTTTCAGCAAAGATACAACTTTAGTTATTTTGTGAGGTTTTGCCAGAATGATCAGAGGTTTTTTTTAATCATGCGAAGGACAACATAATTTTCTTCATTATTGACCCAGATCCTAACCCCAAGTTGCTCTTCGATGTATCAATTGAAGCATGAATGTGTGTGCGAATGTTAAATAGAATGCACTTCAGAATAGGAGAAAGTGCTTGTATGAATATGTGAATGGGGCATGTTATATAAAGCGCTTTGAGTGCTCTTGGAGAGTAGAAAAGCACTATATAACAGTCAGGCCATTTACCATTTATCATCTGAGTCTATGATGTTGACATCAGTGAAGAGATATCTATCTATCAATCCATCCATCTACAGATCATTTTTAGTCATCATACTGAAACCAGGGAGATGACACTGGGGTTTCAACCACATTAACTGGGGTGAAGTACAGGATATATCCAGAGAATCAAGAGTACTTTTTTACAATCTATCCCAGCAACTGGCATTGTGGTTTTAGTCAGTCCATGTCTTTTTGAATGTTACTGTGCTGCATGCATGCATCACTCTTTTCTGCAGGCTGTAGATTCATATACATGTTTGCTTGTGGCTTGTATCAGGATTCTTCTTTTCGGTCAGAAACCTTAGGCAGGGAAATACAAGAGAAAACAGGTCTAAATAGTCAGATGCCAGTCAGCCTAAACGAAGGGTTTTGAAGTGTAAGATTTAGCATTGTGTCATAATGAGGAAAATTGCAGTCTGTGTAAGTTTCAGACCACTACAAATCCTAGTGCAAAAACCATCTTTTTATTTCTACTCAAAAATCACTTTTATGCGATTAAAAATTTAAGAGTGTTTAGTATTTTCTGTGATTTAGAAATATTTGTAAATGATCACGGTAACCATAGCCCTTATTTGGGTGCTCATGCCATTGCCCACATGAGCACCTAAGTTTCTCAATAAGATATAAGAGTCTCCAGGTGGAGCAACCTCAAGCAGCCCACTCAGGGACTCCAAGACAGCCGGGTACTCTGAACTGTCATTCGGCACATAGATACAGACAACTGTCAGGACGCGTTTCTTGAACCAAAAGCACAGGACCTGTTCCTCTCTCCCACTGGGAAAAACTCCAACGCACAGACAGCAAGATACCCACCCCGGCCACTGTGCTTTGGCCTTTTCTCCATCACACTGTTTCAAGGCATGGAGTGAAATCACAACATTACATGCAATCCTGGCCTCCCTTATGAGAAACTGCACAAACTGGCTAAGCTTGGAAATCTGCCAGTCTTCTCTTCTATCATCAAGACCTTTCTGTTCCACCTTGAAGTCAGCCCATCATGAAGCTTAGAGAGGATTTTTTGATTCTCATTATAGTCATTAAGAACCTGTAGACCCTTAATCTGGCTTTCGGCAGCTTCACAGCTACGCTGGAAGTCTACAAACACTTAAGTTCTAAACTGTCCTTGGAGCCAATTCTAGGCCATGCACTAAGTTTATCTCTAAAGGCTTTGACAATAAGAAAATAGTTTTCAAATCTCTCATTTAAAACTTCCCATGGTGCTTTATAAGCAGCCTCAGTGCCTAACAGGAAATAGTTTTCAACAGCCTTCTTAGCTGGTCCACTAACGTACTTGCACAAATAGTAGATTTTCTCAGAGGCTGGTGTGTTTTTTCTTTTGATCAAAGTTTGAAAGGCAGCTTTCCAGTTCTTATACTTTGGTGGGTCACCCCTGAATGTTGTTGGCTTTGGCATAGGAAGACGACTAGCACTAACAGAATCTGCTAATGCCATGGCAAGTGCTGCAATGCTACCGTCATGCTGTGGCTGTATATTAGCTTGTTGTGGTGAACATCTGTCACATATGTAACTCTGGTGAGTTACATATGTGACTTGTGTGATGACTTGAGTCTCCTTCCTTTTCCCTTTCAGATTTTCATGCAAGTAGTAACTGCTTAATTTCTTCTCCTGAATCTTCCTCTTCCTCTTGCTTTTACACTTGCATGGATGCAACATGGCATACACATAAATTTACATTTCTGAGAAAAAGTGGTTCTGGGATAGAAACAAATCACACCACACATATTTCTTGCAGAGCTGATTGTTTATTTTTTTTTCTTGAAATCTTATTTAATTGAATTATTTTCCATTATTTGGTGTAATGAAGTTGTTTATCCAACCAATGTAAGAGCAGACCTTCAGAGAAACAGCTGAACTGCTACAGACACATTTCCCACCTCCAACATGAACACCATAAATCATGTTGTTGAATAACACTCCACCACCAGAATCACCCTGAGAAAGAAAATATAATCCATAGGTTTATTTTAAAACATCTGATAATGGAGAGTAAATGTTAGCAGCATGGCAGCTCACCGGACATGTGTCCACTCCAGCTTGTTCGTGACACATCGTGTTTCCATTTGGCCATAAAAATGGTGAATCACATGGAATGAGGTTAAGCTCACAGTTAACAACACGCATCTTTGCACACTGGAGATGAGGCGGTTCATGAGGGACTAAAGAAAAAAGGAAAAGAACAAAAGCTACTCAGTGTTTCATGCAATGAAATCAGATCAGAAACATGCTTTCACTCATTTCTGGAACAAAATGTGTGAAGCTGAGCAGCATTTAAAAAGGAGGAAAACTGAGAGTATATCCACCATAAAATCAAATAAATACTACATCACAGTTGTAAAATTAAAAAGTAACTAAAACAGGCACACAAGCCAAAATCAAATTCTAATGTAAGCTAGAAAAATGAAAAAATAAAATAAAATTGGTCTTACGTGCGATGTTCTGTAGATCTACTAGATAACCACCAAGGCCTGCAATTTTAATGTCACCTCCTCTACAAATTAAAGAATAATAATTAATTAGTCCATCCATGTGTTGTGAGTACAAGATAAAATCATATGATTGGAGTCCACAGGCTGGGTATTTCCAGTTCACTATGACTAAAGCTAAATTAACTTTGAGGATTCAAAAATTAAGCATTAAATTTCTGATTATTCTCTGAATTTTATGCCACTCTCATATTTTATTGTCCTTTACTCTGGGTCATGAATGCATCTCCTAAAGTAAAGAGAGTCTTATTCTCATTCTAAAGCATACTTGCAGATTTGCTTTAAGCATGTAAGAAAATCTAAATAAGTCAGGTTACAACGACAGTTTAAAAAGAAAACCTATCATGCTTGTGTTGGAACTCACATGTTCGGAGGAATGGTACAATCAGGTAACTGAACAAGGTAAGTCCTGATCGATGCCAGTGAGATTTTCAGTAGCATGATGTCATGGTCCTTAAAGATTTGGTGATCCCTAATTGTAACCCTACTTCCTGGACCTGGATGAATTCCTACATATGCAGACATAATCCTAAACAATGGAAAGGGTTATAACAAAGTCTTTATTATGAAAATAAAGAACAAATATCAGTAACAATTTTTGCCTCTGGCCTTTTCGATTCTGTCTAATCTTAAGTTTTAAGTGAAATTCTCATTTTCTCACAATCCAGGTTGATCGTTCCAACAGTGAGCTGCAGTTAGAACCCACTCGCTGTGGATCAGAGAGCCTCCACATCGAGAACCATGTGTTCCATTGGTTGCAGTTATTTTCACATGGTACAGATGCTTGGTGCCTTCACAGTCATAACCGTTGAAGATTCTTTTGTGTAAATCCAGGACTGCGCTCTCTGTGACACCTGAAAAAAGCCCAGTAATTTACTTACAAATAGTTGGTTTACTGTCAGAACAACATATTCTTTCTCAGCCAGTTGTTTGGCTAAAAAGATTTATCATAAATAACTGATGAAATTCAAACATATTGTATGAGCGAGTGTTCCAGATACTGGGAAATTCTGACAAATATACAAAACTGATATCAAAGGAGAAACAAAGAATAAGAAGGACATACATAATATTAACACAAAACAAGCCTTTATTAACATAGATGTGTCATAACCTAAGGAATAGTTCGAACAGACAAAGTTCAAACAAGCACAGGAAGTGAGTGCAGTAGTTCACTTACCAACCCACAGGAGGAGAAGGAGGAACTTCAGATGAGCCATTGCTGTCATTCAGCTTGCAGTGAATGCTGTGCTGGCACCTTTTTAAAGCCTGTTCTCACTGTGTTAGTGATGGATCCACCAATCAAACAGCCTAATTTTATCAACAAAACCCCATTGGTCCGTTGGGTCAGTTTTCATGCAAATGTTGAACATCTCTTCATCTTAGCAAAAAAGTGTCCTCATTATTTGTAGTCTTTGTCATCCATATACTCCAGGAAATGATACTGCATTTGTTAAAATAAGTTGTTTTTTAACGGAATAATTTCAAAGTTGAAGTTAATTTATACACACACACCTTTTTAGGGGGTTTGTATATCTTTTCTAAGAGTAGCATAAAGGAAAAACTATAAAACATCTGTTCTTCAATTAGCAAGATATTGACTGACTTAATTTAACAATGTATTTATTTTCTTTTTTGTTTGTATTTTGTATTGCACTTTCCTGTATTTTAATAAGTGATACTGCTAAACAACTACATCTGGCTCACTGAGCACAAAACTCGGGGCCTTAGAATTTCATGTTCAGTTCGATACTTGCTTATGAGAAGCAACATTTTCAAGAAGCAACGCATATCAGTTGTGGTA